CTGCTGATGCTTTATCAACTAAGTTTATGTACTATTCTAAATCCTTTCTTGTCATTTCAACAATGTTCACAGTATCTTCAACAGGAGTAGATGCCATCTCAGGAAACCACTATCTTTGGTCATCTATAAGAAGCAACTCCCTCATCTGTTAGTTTTACCACGAGATAGCAGCAATTGAATCACACCTTCCAGCTCCATTTCTAATTCTAGTTCTCTTGCTGTTTCTATCACAACAACAGTTACTTCTTCCACTGAAGTCTTGAACCCCTCAAAGTCATCCATGAGGGTTGGAATCAGTATCTTCCTGTTGATGTTGATATTTTGACTTTGATGAATCACAAATGCCCTTAATGGCACCTACAAGGGTGAATCCTTTCCAAAAGGTTTTCAATTTAATTTGCCCAGATTTATCCAAGGAATCACTATCTATGGCAGCTACAGCCTTATAAAATGTATTTTTTTTAAAAGATTTGAAAGTCAAAATTACTCCTTCATTCATGGGCTACAGAATGGATATTGTCAGCAGGTATGAAAACAACATTAATCTCCTTCTACACCTCTATTAGAGCTCTTGGGTGACAAGGTACATAGTCAATGAGCAATAACATTTTGAAAACAATCTTTTTTTCTGAGTAAGAGGTCTCAGCAGTGGGCTTACGCTATTTAGTAAACCTTGTTGTAAACAGATGTGCAGTCATCCAGGCTTAGTTGTTCCATTTATAGAGCACAGGCAGAGTAAATAATTTTTAAGGGCTCTAGGATTTTCAGAATGGTAAATGAGCACTGGCCTCAACTTAAAGTCATCAGCTGCACTGGCTTCTAACAAGAGAGTCAGCTTACCTTTTGAAGCTTTGAAGCTAGACTTTGACTTCTCTTTTCTAGGTATGAAAGTCCTAAATAACATCTTCTTCCAATAGAAGGCTATTTCATCTACACTGAAAATTTGTTTTTTAGTGTAGACATCTTTATCAATGATCTTAGTTAGATCTTCTGGATAACTTGCTGCAGCTTCTAAAATAGCACTTGCTGCTTCACTATGCACTTTTATGTTATGAAGATGGGTTATTTCCTTCACCCTCATGAAACAACCTCTGCTAGCCTCCAACTTTTCTTTTTTTTTCTTTTTTTTTTTTTTGAGACAGAGTCTCACTTTGTTGTCCAGGCTAGAGTGAGTGCCGTGGCGTCAGCCTAGCTCACAGCAACCTCAAACTCCTGGGCTTGAGTGATCCTTCTGCCTCAGCCTCCCGAGTAGCTGGGACTACAGGCATGCGCCACCATGCCCGGCTAATTTTTCATATATATATATCAGTTGGCCAATTAATTTCTTTCTATTTATAGTAGAGACGTCTCGCTTCTTGCTCAGGCTGGTTTTGAACTCCTGACCTTGAGCAATCCGCCCGCCTCGGCCTCCCAAGAGCTAGGATTACAGGCGTGAGCCACAGCGCCCGGCCTAGCCTCCAACTTTTCTTCTGCACCTTTCTCAGTCTTCATAAACTTGAACAGAGTTAGGGCCTTTCTCTAGTTTAGACTTTGGCTTAAGGGAATATTGTGGCTGCCTTGATCTTCTACCCAGATCACTCAAACCTTCTCCATATCAGCAATACGGCTGTTTTGCCTTCTTATCATTAGTATGTTCATTGAAGCTGCACTTTTAATTTCCTTCAAGAATTTTTCCTTTGCATTCATGAACTGGTTATTTGGCATAAGAGGCCTAACTTTCAGGCTATGTTGGCTTTCTACATGCCTTCCTTCCTAAACTTATTTCTAGCTTTCAATTTAAAACGAGACATGCAACTGTTTCTTTCACTTGAACACTCAGAGGCTATATAGGGCTTCTAGTTGACCCAATTTTAATATTGTTGTGTCTCAGGGAACAGGTAGGCCCAAGGAAGGGGAGAGAAACAGGGAAAGGCCAGGTGGTAGAGCAGTCAGAACACACACACCATTTATCAATTAAGTTTGCCATCTTAATAGGCAAAGTTCATGGTGCCCCCCAAACAATTACCATAGTAATCAAAGATCACTGATCATAGATGACCGTGACAGATATAATAATGAAAAAGTCTGAAATATAATAATGAAAAAGCCCAAAATTACCAAAATGTGACAGAGACCTGAAGTGAGCATATGCTGTTGGAAAAACAGCACTGGGAAACTTGCTTGATGAAAAGTTGTCACGACCTTCAATTTTAAAAAAAAACAACAGTATCTGTGAAGTGCAGTATAGCTAAGTGCAATAAAATGATGTATGCCTGTATTGTGTTAGTGCACTTCTAACATATTTGCTCTATTCCCATTGATTGCTGAATAAGTTTTAAAATATTTTTAATATTGTATTATCACAGTTCAATAGGATGGTGTGCATAACTCAGTGTCTACCCAAAACAGAATGAGTGTATTTTAAAATGCAATTTTCAGCTCTGAAACTACACAACTAAAGCTCATGTTTGTTAATGTATGTACAACCACAGCTAACAGCTTCTATTAGCACAGGAAAATATAAGAAAACGCAAATGTGTTTTGAGTTCTTTTTTCTCAAGCTGTTTTCAAAAGAATTCCTGTATTATGTAGAGTCTATTCAGAATGACTTGTATACATTTGGGATGTTCACTACTTTTGCAAATAATATCTAGAACTTGTTTATAATAACTAATCTACTACTGTATTGTGACATATAAAAGGATAATATGTACCATGTTTAACAGAAAGGATGAGAATATTTTTAAAGCTCTGAAAATGGAATTTACAAATCACATTTTCTCTTTTGTACTGAAGTCCACTGTTTTGGAATTTCACTCCTGGTAAAAGTGAACTATATAATTTAGACTAACTCTCCAGTACAAACCACTAGAAAACTGGGCAAAATATAAAAGATCTCTGTTGAAAGCATCAAAGAGTTAATGCAGTGAAGCATTAGGAGGCCAAAGAGGGAGGAGGTAGAAATTTAAGAGCCAATGTTTGCCACTTCTAGAAGAGGTAGCTGAAAAGCAAGAAATTGAGCAGAGCTTTCAATAGATTCATGAAGCTAGAGGGACAAAAAAGGAGTTCAGGGCACATCTAAAAAAAGGGTTCTATAAATAAAGATGAAATGGAAAGTGATCTGTCCTTTCAATTTCCAAAGCTCAGTTTTGGAATCATTTTAATCTTTGTTTGGATAACATCTGAGATTGTTAGTGACTCTAGCCAGAAGAAAACATAACTCTTTGCTCAAAGAAGAGAACACATACAACTTTAAATAACTCTATAATTATTTATATAATTATTTCTACAAAGGACAAGACTAAGTAACTCAAACCGATATAAACAACTGGTAGTAGAAAGAGACCCACAACCAAGCAGGCTAATAGAATATTTACGTAACTACAAATTGATACTACTATACTGTTTGCCATTTTCCTTCTACTTCTTCAACTAAACTTCAGAATCGGCTTGTCTTAGCCTAGTAATATGAAGAGTAATGTTAGAGATGAGAGGCAATGGTGGCAAATAGGTATTAAACCTATCAATATTAATTAATTATCCCTGAATTATCGCTAAAGTTTTGTGGAAATAATTTATTTTAAACTATGATTTTGGGTTCTATATGAACCATTAGCAGTTCTTAACTTTTTCTGCACAGTGACATCTGAAAAAGTTTGCACCTATATACAATATAACTATCAGTAATGTCTTATTCTAGGTGGACTTATGGGTTAGTCAGTATGCAGGTTTTGTTTGGTTCCTCCAGTTCCATTTATAATTCCAATGATTTCTGCCCCACGGGTACATGAAATATTCACTGATATATTAGGAGATGGGAGACAATAACAACTATACAGGAAAAGCTATAGGTTCATATAACTCATGTGATAAAGTTATGATTCTACCAGCTTGTGACATGGGCATTAGTTCTATCTACCAACAGTCTAAATGAATCAAATTTTCTTCTGTTTCCTTAAGCAGGGAAGATATATTTTCTATTCACTTAGAACTTGCTCAAGTGTTCACATAAAGAAGAATGTGGGGAAGTGTACCACAATAAAAACATTAATATTTCTGCAGCAAAACATGTAAGTATGTATACCAAATGAAAGAAGTAAAAATAATACATTGCCCCATATTTGTTCAGATTTGGATCCAAGTGAGCTTGCTACAAACTTGCAAAAAAACTTCTAGTTTCAGAATTTTTTGATTTCAGAAAGAGACCCACAAAGTAACAGAAAGAGACCCACAACCAAGCAGGCTAATGGAATATTTACATATTGAACAGCTATTTTACATGCCTGAGCTCACCAACATGATGTGGAAAGTAAGAATAAAATGCAACCCTTGCTTAGAAGGAACAAACTATACAATATCAAGTGGCTGTAATAAATCTTTAATGATGCTTATATATGAGAAATATTTTTATATACATATATTGCAACTGATACGCTATTTTAGTTTTTGAAAGAAGATTGTAACAGAGCAAACTATAACTGAAATTTGATTTGATATACAAATTTGCTTTCAAGTAAAGAAACAACCTATTTTATTATCATTGTACAAAGGCTGAAAGCATAACAATCTAATCTAGTATTTATAATTTTCTAAAATGCAATGGAAAATGCAGAACTGTATTTTTATATCCATTTTCATGCAAGTCACAGATCAAATAAAATCTGCTTCCAAAACAGCCAGCCACATTCTTATTCAAAACTCTGAAATCAAAAAGTTCTGAAACTAGACGTTTTTTTGCAAGTTTGTAGCAAGCTCACTTGGCATCCAAATCTGAACAAAATGGGGCGATGTGTTATTTTTATTTCTTTCATTTGGTATACATACTTATGTGTTTTGCTGCAGAAATATTAATGTTTTTATTGTGGTATACTTCCCCACATTCTTCTAGGAACATTAATTAATATACAGTATGCACTACATGTCTAAAATCCAAACGATTTCTAAATCCAAACACATTTACCCCCAAGATTTTTGGATGAGATTGGACTTGTAAAAAGAAAATCATATGCCCACACACTTACCAAATTCTCTTCTTTCCAATGTTATGATTTCAGGATCATCATCATAAATACCTAATTTTTAAAGTACATAAAAATTATAAAATAAAAACTACACCATAAATATAAATTACCACATAAAAATACACTACTTATTTTTGTTTTAATCAAAAAAATCAGCTTATACTAAATGCCAAATTTGAAGAATATGCAACACACAAAGAAAAAAAAAGTAAACAATACTATTGGTGATATATTTAAAGAGTGATCTAAAGATATTAGAATCCTGATATGGACTATTATAGGTGTGGGAAGATTTCTAATATTCATATAATTTCATCTCCACAAAAATTTGTTATACATTTTTAAACTATTCAAAAATAATTATAGACTCAAGAAGTTGCAAAAATAGTCCAAATTCTCAGGTACCCTTCACCCAGCTTCCCCTTATAGTGACATGTTATGTAGCTATAGTATAATATCAAAAAAAGGAAATTAAGAGTGGTACACTGTTAACTAGACTATACACCTCATCCAATTTTCAGATTATATGGTTTTTAATACATAGTACCACTTTAAAATACCTTCTGCTAAAAACCCTATAATTAGAATATTTGCAGAGGTTGAAACATTCAGTAAATATAAATTTTGCTTACAATAATTAAGACCAATGTGAGAAAATTTCTCATTACTATATAAAATATCAAAATAATATTAATTTAGATGAGTTAATAATTATTAGTTATTATTAATAAATTAATAATATTTATTTAGATAATATTAATTTAGATGAGTGTCACAACCACTCAAATCTGCTAAGTGTGAAAGAAGTCACAGATAATATGTAAACAAATGAGCATAACTGTATTCCAATAACACTACTTATAAAAGCTGGTGGCAAGCCAGATTTGGGCTATGTAGTTTGCCAGCTCTTGATACAGACTATGAAACTATTGGGAATATGCTTGAAAATACTATTTTGAAAAGAAAAATCAGTCTTAAGAAGCAAACCCTACAGATAAAAATTTAAAATATTTTATTTACTCTAATGTAAAAGTATTACTTCAGTTCCTAGCCTGCATCTGCAGCTAGTTAATGACTAGGAGAAATACAGATTATCTGAATTCACCTTCCTGCCTTGATAACTGTGTTTACTTTCCCTCTCCTTTGGTTCCTTTAACTTGTTTCCTCCTTCTGCTCTGGCCTTATTTCTTTCTTATTTCTGCCAATACCTTAAAACTTAAAGGAAAGTTTAGCCTTTTTTGGAAAATATGATGCTATAAAAGATATTGAAAGAAATTAATATTAATTCAATATTAGAAATACTGAAATATTTAATAACTTCTAATGGTAATATATACAGTCATTCATCGCCTAATGACAGGGATATGTTCTGAGAGATGTGTTGTTAGGTAATTTTGTTGTTGTGTTTACATCACAGAGTTTACATACATAAACCTAGATGGTATATAGCCTACTAGACACCTAGGCTATGTGGTATAGTCCATTGCTCCAAGGCTACAAACCTGTACAGTATGCTACTGGACTGAATACTGTAGGCAACTGTAACACAAAGCTAAGTATTTGTGTATCTAAACAAAGAAAAAGTGGAGTAAAAATGTTATAATCTTATGAAAGCACTGTCATGTATGTATACGTGGTCTGCTGTTGATTGAAATGTTAATACACAGCCCATGACTATGTATTTTTTTATTAAACAGTAATCCTTATTTTAAAACTATTTGACAAGATCTGACCAATACACTTTTATATCTGTTCAGATAATCTCTGTATACCAACTTTTTTTCCTTTTGAATTTCACTTCCAAGGTAAATTTTAAAAAGCTAGTTAAAATGACACATATTAAATACATAAGTGGTGAAACAAAATTTTCTTTTACTCAGACAAAAAGCAATTTCATAAGTAGCACCATATCACCTTACCAAAATCATAACGATAATAGTTCCAGCTTTCATACTGGCCTCCTTGATTATCCTCAAGTCCCTTTTCTCCATATTTGTCATACTTTTTTCGTAGATCTTCATCTTTGAGCACTTCATATGCTCTATTTATTTTTAAAAAATCACCATGTGCATTTGGGTTATTCTGTTAAAAATTATTAGATATAATACAGTTATTTCAAACACATAATCCAAATCTCTTTGGAACCTTTATGTAGATTCAATTAACCCAGAAATTTCTGGGAGACTAGATACCCATATATGGAGGGGTACCATAATGTAATATGAGCTATCATAGGTTGAAATACAGAAGTATTTTCCCCCATCCAAGTACTAACCAGGCCAGACCCTGCTTAGCTTCCAGGATCAGATGAGATTGGGTGCATTCAGGGTGGTATGGCCATAGACTAAAGAAGTATTTACTAAAGAACTATAATCTTCGGAAAAAAAAAAAAAAGGGAAAAATAACAGAATTAAGAACTGACTCTCCAAAAAGTTGACAGATAATGATCATACAACATAAGTCACTCCTAAAAAATGAGCTGAGAAAAAACTGATAAGCCCTTTGAGACTTTTAATTTTGTAAATAATATTTATTACAGCTAAAACAATTATAAATAGATATGTAGATCATTTTTCTATTTGAAGTAAAATCAACATATTAACTAAAAAAAAGTATGTACCCCAATCTACTGCCAGATAAATAAAAACACATAGCAGAATAACAATCCAAAATTGGAATGGAAAAGTTTCTACCTTGTTTTTTTTTTCCTTTTTGAGACAGAGAGTCCCTTTGTTGCCCCAGCTGGAGTGCAGTGGTGTCATCATAGCTCACTGCAACCTCAAACTCCTGGCCTCAAGCAATCCTCCTACCTCAGCCTCCTTAGCAGCTGGGACTACAGGCACATGCTCCCATGCCAGCTAATTTTTCTATTTTTAGTAGACATGGGGTCTTGCTCTTGCTCAGACTGGTCTTGAACTCCTGAGCTCAAGCAATCCTCCCACCATAGCCTCCCAGAGTGTTAGGATTACAGGTGTGAGCCACCAGACCTGGCCTCCCTTCTTTGTTACTATGCTTCATAGAATTGTTTTTTTTTTTTTTTTTGAGACAGAGTCTCACTTTGTTGCCCAGGCTAGAGTGAGTGCCGTGGCGTCAGTCTTGCTCAGACTGGTCTTGAACTCCTGAGCTCAAGCGATCCTTCTGTCTCAGCCTCCCAAGTAGCTGGGACTACAGGCATGTGCCACCATGCCCGGCTAATTTTTTTCTATATATATTAGTTGGCCAATTAGTTTCTTTCTATTTATAGTAGAGACGGGGTCTCGCTCTTGCTCAGGCTGGTTTTGAACTCCTGACCTTGAGCAATCCGCCCGCCTCGGCCTCCCAGAGAGCTAGGATTACAGGCGTGAGCCACCGCGCCCGGCCCATAGAATTGGTTTTTGAAGAATGCTTTCATGTGAATAAGACTTGGATGTAAATCCACCATCTCTTATAACTTAAAAATCATATTTTAAGATTTTAAAAAAAATTTTGAAAAAATAAAAATCCTAAATATGATAGAATGTAGATGGCAAGGAAAGATATTAAAAGTTTTAAAGAAATATTGTTTCTATTGCTCAGCTTCACGCAATTGAAATAAAATAATCCTATTTTAAAAATTCTACCTAGAAAGAGAAAATTATAATTTAACCATGTCTTTCTCCTTGTTAATAAGGCTGGCTAAATCTCATTAACAAAGTATTGAGTAAATTATAAAAATACCATGAAAATTAAAACTAGTTTTGAAAGATAACAGTATTTAACACTGCTATCTTTCAAATATTTACGATTGGAATTATATTCAGCTCTCAAGTTTTAATTTATAACTTTCTAATTCTGGTCTGTGGACTTGTATATGAAAAAAATAGTAAAAGCATACTATTATTAGCTATTACTGCCATTTTTAGTATGTTGTATCCTCTGAGTCTTAAAGCAATATTTTTTCTCCTATTGTCCTAAAATACTTAATCTTAACCTACTTAACCAAGAAAACTACTTCACAGATGTTATTGTTTTGGGGGGGATTAATGTCTTTAATAGAACTGCAGGAAATTAGTTTACAAATTAAGAGGGTACTATATTCTTGGTATTGATAATCCTTCATACTATATTCTACACAAGAACATCTTGCTTCTTCTGTTTTTAGCAAAGAAGTTGAATTGTAATTTTGACATGTGATTGTTCTTAAGCATTTTGAACATTTACCTAAAATAATTTAACTATCAAAACATACCAAAATGCAATGAGATATTTTTAAAAACAAATTTTTACCTACCGGGTTTTTATCAGGATGTAACTTCAATGCCAATTTCTTGAAAGCTTGTCTTATTTCTCTACTGCTTGCTGTTTTAGATACTCCAAGTAAACTGTAAAAATCTTGATCTGTGCCCACTAAAATGGCCATATACACTATTAGAAAACAGAGAATGTTCCTTTTCAAGTCTCTGATATAGTCATCTTTATTTAACCAGACTCCCATTCTTTTTCTTATACAAGTTCTGGTTCAAGTGAACATTAGGATACACTGCTGGTTCCAGTGGATATATGTGAATTTGAGAATTTCTGTCCACATTACTTCAAGGGTGAATCAAGCATCACAAAATTGTCTCCAAAAATGTTAATCTAAACAGAGGAAACATGGCAGTTAACATATATTTCAAACTAAACAATAACAACACAATTTATCAAATAACACTGTCAGTAATACAATCTCCATTAAATGGCAGATCAGTGGTAATGTAGGCTCTATTCTTTGGGGGCCCCCTTCACTGTTTCCATATTCAGGTAGCCAGATTTGTGAAATCACTCAAGATAGCAGATTAAAGGCAGGGATGATGGTAGAGCTAGAATGATTATATACATACTCAGCAATTTATACAATGAGAAAAGGCCTCTAATCAGCATCAGAACACAAGGGTGGGAATAACTTATGTTTCCTTCTTCTTTCTACCCAGTTTTAGCGTTGTCCTTTTTAACACTTACTTTTTAGCTACTTTACCCTCTCAGGCTGTCTAGTTTTCATTTTAATCAGACTTAATTGTAGGAAATGTGCTTTGGTGGTGGGACTAGAAAGAAGCTTAGGGTCCTTATAAAGGATCTTTACTTTCCATATAACCTTGCCAAAAATGGCAGTGAATTATATTGTTATAATGGACAAACTACACGGCAGTCCATCTTTTCCCCTGAATTCTCTCAGAAGGTGCTTAAGTTGAATTTAAGTAGAGAATAATAGTAGAATAATAATTGTAAGTTAACAGTGTAATTTTACTGCAAAGTTCATGTCTGGTATAAACAGAAATAGGAAAAGAAACAGAAAAGGAGAAGGAAATGGTTATTAATAAACATGCTCACTAATGCAGGGTAAAAACAATTATTACTTCAACATACGACATTTAAACTCGTGTATTTTAGTTCCAAAGATATCATAATGCTTGGAAGTCTAACTTTCATAGCACCCTCAGTTTCTCCTTTCTTCATTTAATCCTAAATGTCTATTTAAAAAAAAATTTTCTCCTTACCCATAACTGGTCTTCAGCTCATTTCTAATACCTCCTTTTCATCCCACAAAAGTACACCTTTGTAAAACATAATGATGGAGATTAACAAATATTCAGACTAGAAAACAAGCATCAGAAAAAAAGAGAATATATTCACAATCACTACTCTGGGATAAGATGTTCCTTGCCTAGGGGTTGTTCAGTTAACGTGGGTGTGGCTGAACTGCCCTAGGCCTGAGCAGCGGGACAGGTGGAAGCTGCAGGTTAAATGCAAGGCGAAAAGTTTCAAGTTTCCTCACTCCAGAGTGGGATAGGGGAGAAGGGAAAGTCGGAGATATAGCAGGAATGGGACTGTCAAGTGTTACTGGTGTCTGAAATCTCAGGCCGGACTAAGGAAGAAGGGAGTCTGAGTAACTGGAGCGGAACCGCTGAGAGGAAAGGTGGTGCGGGTAAGAAGGAAGATGATGGGGAGTGAGAACACAATACACTGGTCTCAGGAGCGCAGAGGAGGGGAGGTCCAGGCGCGCAGGCGTTTCTCCCCTCCCTTCCCGGAGGGCCCAGGCCGCCGCCCGCTCCAGCAAAGCCCTGGCTGGCCCCGGCCCATGCCCACCTTGGAGTCGCGGGGTCGCTTCCTGCAGCTACTCCCCCATCCTCAAGCCCCGGCGGCAGACCCAGCCTCTCTGACGCCAAGCTGTGAGTGCGGGACGGAAGGACTCACTCTGCAACGCTGCAACAGCCCGCCGCCGCGGGCGGGATGGGGGAGGACCAACCGCACCGGCAGTGTCGAACGCGCGACCCGCCCCGGTCGGCTCCTCACGCTTCGGTCTCCACTGCGAGACGGGGCGGGGCCTGGCGCGGGGCATTGTGGGAAAGGCGTGGAGACCGTGGCCTAGGAGACCTGCTGCAGGCCTGGCAGGCGCGGCGCAGCGGCGGTGGGTGAGGAGGGTGGTGTAGGTTTAGGTTGACGTGGCCATCTGCGCGGGATCCGGCTCCGGCTCCAACCCGGAGCTGAGGGACATCCTGTGACCAGTGCTGCCAGCGCCCGGGGCCGGGGTCAGGAACGCCGGACAACGAGACCCGCCCCTTCCTGGTTCCGTTGCCAGGGTGACGAGGAAATCCCGGAGGGCGGGTTGGCTAGCGCTTTTGCCGAGAGTGTTCTTAAAGGGAAGACGGGGCTGTAGAGGATTTTTGTGGTTGATGTGTGGGTGAGGTCGAAAGGGGAAATTTGGCGGAAAAAGGAGAGTTTGCCTGATGTGACATTGATTTAGGCAGTAGGAAACTTGGAAGAAATAAAACTGTTTACAACTTTGGGCGTGCGTATCAGCAAACGTTCGAGCCTTCTTCGGTATCTCCTGGCTTTCTAGTCATCCACGGTAAAACTGGAGGGTTATCCACACGCCTCTCTCACCTTTACCTCTAAATGATGTGGTACAGAAACTGCATTTTGACCCACAGCAATATAATTATAACAATTGAATATTTACAACCTCTAAAAGAGGTTGCTGAAGAGAATACCTGCGTATGACACCAAACCTAACATGAAAAAAGTTGTAATTGGTAACAATCTTATGGGTAGTAAATCAAATTTCAGCTTATAAACGCTTGAAGACTATACGGAGTCCATGGCTAATACATGGCCAGGAAGAAGAGGAAGTAGAGTGAACAAAGGCCAGAAATGTTAGAAGTAGCCTGATATAATATTAATAGTAGCTAATATGTATCAGGAACTGGTGTAAGCACACATGTTTTAACTCATTTAGTCCTCTATATAATCTTACAAAATAGTGACTTATTATGACCATTTCCCAGTTGAGGAAACTGAGGTAAATATGTGATAGTGCTGGGTGTCACACCTAAGCAGCCTGGCTCCACAGACTGTGATGTTAATCATGCCACACTGTCAACAAACAAAATCCTAGAGTAAATTGAAAAGCAAACAGAAAATTGGAGAATTAAGCAAGGGCATTTCACAGAGGAGTTTTTAATGCCAAGATGAAGATACAGATTTTATCTTGTAGGTAATGAGAAAATGTTTTAAGCTTTGAAGTAAGGGACGGAGATTGTATTTTAGATCATTCTGGCAGCCATTGAAGAGAAAATATAAAGGATGCAACACTGGAGAAAGAGCAGTTAGGAGAATGTTAGAGAAATAAGATAAATGTGGCAAGTGATGGTGATTGGATGGATATGCTAAATAAAGGAAAGGAAAGATTAAAGGTTAATTTCTGATTTAGGTAGCTGAGTAGCACTCACTGAATGACTACCTGTTTAGGGAAGAGACAAAAGGTTCTGATTTGGACATATCCAGTTCAAGATGCCTAGATTATGCCCAGGTGAAGATCCAGAATAAAACTCATGTGAAATGTGTAGATTGGAGAAAAAAATTAGGGAGTCCATTTATGGTAGTTGGACCCATGAGAATGAATGAGAACACTCAGAGAAAGTGTGCAGAATAAGAAAAGCTGGAGACCAAGGATTAAAATCTTGGGGAATTCTAATATCATGAATGTAAGCTCCATGAAGACAGAGATTTTATTTTCTTTTATTTATTGTTATATCCCCAGTTGTTCCTAGTACATGGTAGGTACTAAATAAATACTTTGTGAATTAAAAAAAAAGTTAATTTCAGAAATAGACTAAAAAGAAGAACTCATATTGGAGTAAAAAAGAAATGATCAGAGATATACAAAAAGAACAAAACATTAAGGAAGTTAATAGTGACTCAAGTAAGATACCAAAACTTGTTAATTGGATCTGGCAGTTAGGATATAACAGGAACTTTAGCAAGCACAGTTTGGTGATGGTAATGCTGGAAGCTAGACTGCAGTGGACTGAAGATTGGATGGGAGCTGAGGAAATGGAAATAGGAAGTATATATACTCTTGAAAGTTTGGGTGAGAAGAGAAGCAGGGAAACTGTAGTGTAATTAGAAGAGGATATGGATTCAAGAAAGGAAATGCTTTAAGCTTGGAAAGATTTGAACAAGTTTATAAGCTGATTAGGAGCCAAAAAAGAGAAACCTGCAGATACAGGACAGAGGGAATAAAGAAACACTGGACTTAAATGGGACTCTAGAACAAATGGGTCTAAGAGATATTTACAGAACATTCTACCCAAAACCTACTGAATATACATTCTTCTCATCCACACATTGAAAATTCTCCAAGATTGATCATATTTTAGACCACAAAACATGTCTCAACAAATTTAAAAAAAAATAGAAATACCCTTAATGACCTAGCCCAAAGAACAGTAAACCATTTTAAAATGAATAAATGAACTATTTTAAGTTCAAGCAATCCACCTGTGCCTATTTAAGTCCAGTGTTTCTTTATTTATTTTCTGCTTGAATGATCTGTCCAGATCTGTCAGTGAGGTGTTAAAGTCCCTGGCAATTATGATGCTGCTGTTTATCTCTTTGCTTAGATCTAGTAGAGTTTGCTTTAGAATCTGGGTGCTCCTGGGTGTTAGATGAATAATTATTTAGGATTGTTATGTCATCTTGTTGAATTGTTCCTTTTACCATTACATAATCACCATCTTTGTCTTTCTTTACTATTGTTGATTTAAAGTTCATTTTATCTGATATGAGAATGGCAGCACCTGCTTTCTTTTGGTTTCCATTTGCATGGAATACTTTTGTCTGTCCCTTCACCTTGAGTCTGTATGAACTCTTGTGGGTTAGATGTGTTTCCTGGAGACAGCAGATATATAATTGGGTTGTATTTTTTTCATCCATTCAGCCAACGTGTGTCTCTTCAGTGGAGAATTCAGACCATTCATGTTGATTGATAGAACTGATATGTGGGATATTGTTCTGTTCATCCTGTTGGGTTGTACTTTATTGCTTTACTTTACCTATTGTGCTGTTGTTTTAAATGTGCTCTGAGCTTTAGCTTTTTGGTGGTTTTACTCAGGTGGGTGTCTATTGTGCTGATCCATGTATAATGCAGTTTTGAGTACTTCTTGCAGGGCAGGTCTGGTCTTTACAAATTCCCTCAGTGTTTGCTTATCTGGAAGTCTTTATTTCTCCTTCATATATGAAACTTAGTTTTGAAGGATACAAAATTCTAGGCTGGCAATTCTGTTTAAGAAGACTGAAGATGGAGCCCCAATCCCTTTTGGCTTGTAAAGTTTTCATTGTCTAATTTGTAAATACATTAAAAAGTCTTGGTTGACATCTTGAAATCACCTGTAGCACCTACTAATGGAGTTGAAATTCAATGTATGTGTTGAATTCACTTGAATTTGCAGAGTTGCTTATATTTCTATAACTGTAATTTCATATTTTTCATCTCTAATAAACAGCCTTTCCTTTAACTATAACTAACCTTGCTTTATACTTATTTACCTACATCCCAGTTATTTTGACACTATAGTTTTTAGTGTTAAAAATGTTATGTGGTGGCCGGGCGCAGTGGCTCAAGCCTGTAATCCTAGCACTCTGGGAGGCCGAGGCGGGCGGATTGCTCGAGGTCAGGAGTTCGAAACCAGCCTGAGCAAGAGCAAGACCCCCGTCTCTACTATAAATAGAAAGAAATTAATTGGCCAACTAATATATATATATATAAAATTAGCCGGGCATGGTGGCACATGCCTGTAGTCCCAGCTACTCGGGAGGCTGAGGCAGAAGGATCACTCGAGCCCAGGAGTTTGAGGTTGCTGTGAGCTAGGCTGATGCCACGGCACTCACTCTAGCCTGTGCAACAAAGTGAGACTCTGTCTCAAAAAAAAAAAAAAAATGTTATGTGGTAATTAAACACTTAATCTAACAAAAATAAAAGTCGAGCAGGCATAGGAATATATACAGCATATATACATATTTATGTACACATACATGAGTAGGTATGTCCTATATATTTTGGCTTTTCTTGGGACTAACCCCTAAATAAATACTTGCTAAATTGAATGGAAAGCAAACCAAACACAAGTATAGGCTGATAGTCCTAGTGAAATATATTTTCTTTCCATTTCATCACGTAAACAATAGGAGGACAGGAGATCAAGTTATAGACTGATAAAATGTGCCTGCCTACCTATCTACATCCCAAATCTCTAGAGATGACAGAGAAATTTAGTTTTTAAAAAATAAATCCATTTCATTGCTGCAGGATAAGAAATGCCCTCAATGCACCAGAAATTTTGAGGAATACTTGAAATATGGAACACAACAGGTGTTGAATTGATAGAAGAAATTACTGAGCAAAACACAAGTGAAAAGAATATTGCAAAATGTGATAATGGCTCTGGATGTTCCTTCCAGTGAAGAAGAGACGATGTGGAAATTAGGGAGATTGAAGATGATGGTTTGTTGTGGCACTGCATTTAGGATAGCTAGGATGGTTGGCCCTATGTTGGGTGTCCTCAAGAACACCCCCAAGTTTGATGATGACACCCAGGACTAGGAATATAGTTGTTCTTATGGCTAAGATTTATTATAAAGAAAGAAGACAAAGCAAAATTAGAAAAGAAAAAAGGTACATGGGCAAAGTCTGGAGGAAACTGGGTGCAAGCTTCCAAAGTCTTCTCCCATTGGAGGTGCACAGAATGCACAACTCCAGAAATGAATTGTGACAACATGTACAAAATGTACATGTAACAACATGTACATTTCCCTGTTGCGTACAGGGAAATTCATCAGAGGCTAAATGCCTAAGATTTTTATTGGGAGATGGACATGTAGACATCCTCTGCTTAGACTCTGAGAAGGAAAGTAGGTGTTCAGCACGAACCACATTGTTTTTAGAGTTCAGGCACAGGCATTGTTTTTAGAGTTCAGGCACAGTGAACCGCTCTTTATTTTTTATTTATTT